CAAGGGAAAATTTTATAGGACGGCAATAAGGCCGGCGATGCTGTATGGCACAGAATGTTGGGCGGTGAAGCATCAACACGTACACAAAATGGGTGTAGCGGAGATGAGGATGCTTCGTTGGATGTGTGGGCACACGAGAAAGGATAAGATTAGGAATGAGGATATCCGGGGTAAAGTAGGAGTAGCCGAAATTGAAGGAAAGATGAGAGAAAATCGGTTACGGTGGTTTGGACATGTGCAAAGAAGGCCTACTGACGCTCCGATTAGAAGATGCGACTATGGGACAGAGGTTCAGGGCCGAAGGGGTAGAGGAAGACCTAGGAAAACTTTGGAAGAGACCCTAAGAAAAGACTTAGAGTACTTGGATCTAACGGAGGACATGACACAGGACAGAACACAATGGCGTTCTAAGATTCATATAGCCGATCCCACTCAGTGACTTGGATTTTCCAAGTCTCCAACCAGAGAAGTTTTCCTCACTCGGGAAATTAAGGGAACACTACCTCAACCTACATGCTCCACTCACAAAGCTTCAACATACAAGCTTCAACAAAAGAAAATTCAAAGAACTTAGCGAAGAAGGCTTTGGTGTATTTAACACAATACGTTGAAATGAAGGAAAGCTTATTTATTGATATCCCCGATAAGTTACAAATATGTACATATACTTGAGTCAAAATAAACAAACAAGAGGGAGCCTTCACAAAGGTTGCTTAGGAGAAGTCTCAGCAGTCGGTAGAGCCCCAGAAAGAGAAGGCACCGGAGGGGGATCATTCGGAGCCTCAGTACTGGACAAAACCCTAGAAGGAGGAGGCATCAGAGGTTGATCATTTGGAGCTTCATTACGCGGTACAGCCCCAGAAGACGAAGGCAATAAATGCCTTTGGAACAAACCCACAAATCTCTGATGATCAAGTAAAACCTGACCATCAGATTCCTTCATCTGGTCAAGCTTCCTCTTCATGTTTGTAGCATAGTCATGTGCGAGCCGGTGCAACTGTTTATTCTCATGCTTGAGCCCTCTAATCTCCTGTTTGAGACTCATCACTTCAGCCGCCAATGATTCAACTTGGCGGGTTCGAGCAAATAGGCGTTGGGCCATATTAGACACAGAACCTGCACACTGAACACTGAGAGCCAGAGAATCCTTAACAGGCAACTCATCAGACCGTTTGGAAAGTAGTCTGTTATCTTTGGGAGTGAGAAGGTTCCTGGCCACTACCGCAGCGGTCATATCATTCTTCATCACGGAATCCCCAACGGTAAGAGGACCAGTAGGGGAGACGAAGGATGGGCGCCATATGTTGTCTGGAGAAGGCGGGGCTGCCTCTTCAACAAGGTTCAAGTCAAAACGACGGTCGGAGGGGCCAGACATTTTCAAAGGTGTTGAAGAGAGAAGAGGTCGGACAAATCAAGATCTTAGAAGTGCAAGAATGGAGCTTCTACTGGTGGATATTCAAGTGTGCTTTGGAACTTAATGTCAGCCCCTATAAAAATCTGCACTCGACGAAGCTTCAGAAATCGAAGAAGAGGCGCCTGCTCAGAAATCGAAGAGGCGTTTGCTTTCTCAAAAGCTGGGCTGCTCAGAGACCACGAGGGTTGATCTCAGAAATCGAAGAGGCGTTTGCTTTCTCAAAAGCTGGGCTGCTCAAAGACCACGAAGGCCGATCTCAGAAATCGAAGAGGCTTGCTTTCTCAAAAGCTGGGCTGCTCAGAGACCACGAGGGCCGATCTCAGAAATCGAAGAGGCACCTACTTTTCCAGCCTTGTCAGCACCTGTCACACGCACACTCAGCTTTGCGGAAATTATGGGCATTCTGTCGAAGATTTCTGGCGAAGTAGAAAGCACATGAATCGTACTGTTCAATCACCCACTTCCCACACGCAACAGTAGCTCATGGGTACCACAGATAACTTTGCCAAAGTTCTCTGACAAAGTTGAGACACGTGAAGCTTGCAGCTCCCGCTACATCGCTCTGACCAAGAAGGGTAAAAGAATTGCAAAGAAACAACACTAACAAAGTTTAGACACATAAATTTTGAAGGTCTAGCTACCATATTATTACCCACAAGGGTAAAGGAACAGTACCACTGCTGGATAATTAGAAAGTAGTGTGTCAACCTCTGTGTTTCGTGGCAAGGTAGACTAGCAAACATGCTCAACCTTTACTCACATTCGAGAAAACACTCCCAACAGGATTGCTTGCTCCAAAATCGAAGAGGCACGGCCCTTCGAATCTCGAGAGCCAGACTCCCAACATGATTACTTTCTCAAAAATCGAAGAGAGGGTAAAGGAACAGTACCACTGCTGGATAATTGGAAGGTCCCTGTGTGTTAACCTTTGTGCTTCGTGGCAAGGTAGACTAGCAAACATGCCCAACCTTTACTCACATTCGAGAAAACACTCCCAACAAGATTGCTTGCTCCAAAATCGAAGAGGCACCGCCCTCCGAATCTCGAGAGCCAGACTCCCAACATGATTACTTTCTCAAAAATCGAAGAGAGGGTAAAGGAACAGTACCACTGCTGGATAATTGGAAAGTCCCTGTGTGTCAACCTCTGTGCTTCGTGGCAAGGTAGACTAGCAAACATGCCCAACCTTTACTCACATTCGAGAAAACACTCCTAATAAGATTGCTTGCTCCAAAATCGAAGAGGCACCGCCCTCCGAATCTCGAGAGCCAGACTCCCAACATGATTACTTTCTCAAAAATCGAAGAGACACCGCTCTCTGAATCTCGAGAGCCAGACCCCTAGCAGGATTGTTTTCTCAAAAATCGAAGAGACATCGTTCTCCGAATCTCGAGAGCCAGATCCCCGACAGGATTGCTTGTTCGAAAACCGAAGAGGCACCACTTTCCCAACTTCAAGAGCTGGATCTCCTTGGATAAAGCTTGTCTGTAATCTTCACACGCAACATCAGCTTTTCAGATACCACAGACCACTTTTTCAAAGTGCTCTGACAGAGTTAAAACATGTGAAGCTGGCAGCTCCCACTACCGTGCTATGACCAAGCAGGGTAAAGGAATAGCATTATTACTTGATGTTAGGGAGACTCCTATATATGTCGAACTCCATCCCTAACGGACAGGCAGACCTGCAAAAATGCTCAACCCTTTCTCTTATCTGAGAGGGCACTCTCAACGAAGCCTTTCGAAATATTCAGCTTTCTTTCCCCCCGATAATACCTCTGTAAACAAGCTATACTAGAGCAAGAATATCTCATATCATCAGGGTTAAAAGCAAGAGTATCCCATATCATGCTTTTTCCCTGTCTTTTCCTTTGGCCTTGTTCTTACCTGCAAGACAAGGAGAAAGAGAGCAATCAGTTAGCACTTGGAATCAAGCTTCCAGCCAGGAACTGACTGCCTGGAACCCCTTACCTGATTACTTACCTGGCATTGCTCTCGAGTACTCATCTTCAACATCTTATGCTTCCAGGGAAGATACCGCATCTGCCTGAGGAACAGATAGGGCAAGTGAGAAGGATACAAGGAAGCATGTGGAGACAAGCGTAACAGCACACGTGCCGATACATCCACTACTCTGTCAAAAGCAAAAGTATCCCATATCAGCAGGGTCGAACGTACTCTAGATTTGATGGACTTGTTTTGACCCTCAAATTCTTCAGTCGGCCTTATACTCTGGAGGAAACCAGAAAACCCTCCAGCCCAGTTCAAGAATAAGCCTGTGGAAAGTTACTTCTTCAAAAGCAAAAGTATCCCATATCATCTCTTCTCATTTTTCTTCTCTTTATCCTTCATGCTGCCTGCAAGATAGGGAGAATGTGAACAATCAGCCGGAGCTCTGATTGCTTACCTTGTCTGTCACCTCTTTCAGCAGATCCCCTAGCCCGGCGACTTGGGGGACTCCATACTACATGGTTTGTATCGCGCTTGACCAAGCCTGAAACTACAAGTAAGCTTCAAGTGAAATTGATACATTACCTTGTGCATCTCCACCAGTTACAGATACCACCCCTGGATGGAGGAAGAGTACTTCCAGAGAAGATGCCACATCTACCTATGAGACAGATAAGGCAAGTCAAGACGATACCACACTCCGGTACTTAGAAGTTTCGTGGTTACGAGATCATTCTCCCACAATATTTCCTAATGTCATTTGTACTAAATCATTCACTTGTACTCACTAAAGGAGAGCTTGAACCTATGTACTTGTGTAAACCCTTCACAATTAATGAGAACTCCTCTATTTCCGTGGACGTAGCCAATCTGGGTGAACCACGTACATCTTGTGTTTGCTTTCCTATCTCTATCCATTTATATACTTATCCACACTAATGACCGGAGCAATCTAGCGAAGATCACAAAAAAGTGACCGTTTTCGCTACCTAGGATCTATCTTGCAAGAGAACGGAGAATTAGATGGAGATCTCAACCATAGAATACAAGCTGGATGGATGAAGTGTAAGAGTGCACCCGGCGTGTTGTGTGACCGTCGTAGGCCACTGAAGCTCAAGGGAAAATTTTATAGGACGGCAATAACGCCAGCGATGTTGTATGGCACAGAATGTTGGGCGGTGAAGCATCAACACGTACACAAAATGGGTGTAGCGGAGATGAGGATGCTTCGTGGGATGTATGGGCACACGAGAAAGGATAAGATTGGGAATGAGGATATCCGAGGTAAAGTAGGAGTAGCCAAAATTGAAGGAAATATGAGAGAAAATCGGTTCCAGTGGTTTTGGACATGTGCAAAGAAGGCCTACTGACGCTCCGGTTCGAAAATGTGACTACGGGACAGAGGTTCAGGGCCGAATGGGTAGAGGAAGACCTAGGAAAACTTTGGAAGAGACCCTAAGAAAAGACTTGAGTACTTGGATCTAACGGAGGACATGACACAAAACCGAGCGCAATGGCGTTCTAGGATTCATATAGCCGACCCCACTTAGTGGGAAAAGGCTGTGTTGTTGTTGTTGTTGTTGTTGTATAGTTTTCATAATGTTGCTGAGCATTTGGAGTATGCATTTTTTGTGTAGTTGAGAAGAATGTACTGTTCACAAAGGCAAAACAGGGAACAACAACTACTTCATATGGGAAGAAGAGGTTAGTTTAATTGTAATTTTTTTTTATTTGGTTTAATTCGAAGTTGGTTGGCTTGCATCTAATTCGGTCATTTGCTGGAACAGGTTGAAGTCATTGGTTTTATTAATGCTGGTGACGGAAATCAATCAAAGTTAATGTTAAAACGATATCATTATTTTTATTATGGTGAGGACTAAGAACTTATAAACCTTTTCTTTAGGGAATTGTTATTGGCATTCTAAAAATCTCATTTTGCACTCCAAACTTTCTATAATTAGAAAGAAAAATACACTTGTGAGGAGTGTAGAATGAGATTTTTGGAGTGCTAATAACATTTCCCTTTCTTTATATCTCTCATTTTTTAAATTAAGATATTTACTTTTTTTATACCTCTTGTGTGATCATTTACTGAGAATTTGTTAATTGTTTTAATATGTATGAGGACTAAGAACTTATAAACCTTTTCTTTAGGGAATTGTTATTGGCATTCCAAAAATCTCATTTTGCACTCCAAACTTTCTATAATTAGAAAGAAAAATACACTTGTGAGGAGTGTAGAATGAGATTTTTGGAGTGCTAATAACATTTCCCTTTCTTTATATCTCTCATTTTTTAAATTAAGATATTTACTTTTTTATACCTCTTTTGTGATCATTTACTGAGAATTTGTTAATTGTTTTAATATGAATGAGGTAGGATTTCTACATTCATTTCTCATCTTTAGAGATTGCTGGATTTCTACATTTATTTCTCATCTTTAGAGATTGCTGGATTTCATGTTGTCGAGTAGTTTATGGATTTTTCATATTAAGTGCATCAATATGTTGTTGCAGTAATTCAATTAGATGTGATATAAGTTGATGTGTTTATACCTTTAAACATAAATTTTTCACACAATTTCTAATCCCGCAGCAACTTGCGGGCAAAATTTTCTAGTTTGTACTAAAGCTCTGTCCAAATCAAGGTTTATCTTTCTTGGGGGCAAACTTGCTCTTCGCCAGCCTCAGTTCAGTTTGAGGGGGGATATTGAGGGTAAAAATGTAAATGCAAGTGTAAAAGATCTTATGTAGATATTGGATAGTTTGTTATAGTTGTTTTTAGTTAGTTAGAATGAGGTGTCTCTCTCATTGGTTGAGAATACTTGTATATATACAGGTTGTAATATTATTATTAAAATCAATGAAAAAGTTTATTCCCAATAGTCGAGTAAAATTGGAATGTCATGTAACCCAGAGAGTAATAACCAGGGCCCTTACTCTTTCGCTAATAGTCGGCCTATCAGCTTGGTAAAGTGCGTCTAGGTTCACCTCTATGACGGCATTGAGGAGGAGGGTTTAGCTGGCAGATTTCTTGAAGGTAGAACTCAACAAGTTTGCTTGAAGTGAGTTGGCTGTTTTTGAAAGCTTGTTGGAGGTCAGATATTGTAGCTTCCTTGATATAGAATCCATGGACTCTGAAAGTTAGGGAACCAAATGAAGTTATAGCCAGAAGAATCCAAAGAAACAATGGGAAGAGAGAAAGTTTTGAGGCCACGGAAAAACAATGTAGTAGCTGATTTGATGAAACAATTGTACTTGCCTGGTTTTTTGGAAGTTAAATAAACAAAAACTCTGGACCAATTGGCAATTTATAATCTCAACTGGGCATGGTCTATTTGCCTAGTTCAGATAAGAGTATGATCCACGGAGGATACTGCTTGGCTCCTTATGTGCAAATCAGTCCGACACGTTGTAACTCAATTGAAGCAAAAACAAAAATTTATATGAGCATATCAAACTGTAATTTATCTACAAGAAGAAATGGCTTCCGAGTATTTTTCCACTTGGGAATAAATTTTAGTATTTTTCTTTGACGTAGAACCTTGTGTGACCATTTCGTACCCCGGCAGTCCCAGACCGAGTAAATATAACTTCTACTGCATAATTGCTTGTATTGGTATAATCGGGGTTTTAATGATACAACCATATCAATACAACCTGCAAAACCATACACTCACAGGTGCTAATGACACATTATTTATTCACCAGAAGCATAATTGTTTTTCCGTTCGATATACAGGATTTGAACGTACAATGTACAACCTTTCCACACAACAACAATCGCATTAGACTTGAGTTTTTAGAGCTCATGGACAATTAGCGGCATAATTAAACTGATTCTTATTAAAACTGCCCCAAGTATCCTTCTAGAAAAATTCATGTCGACTGCTGTCATGCAAGCGCTTTCCTTGAGGTTCTCTTGAGTGACTAGGACGGGTCTTTTTGTGGCTGCAGCAATGGTGGGTATTGATGACTCAACTTCAGGAGTGGGAGTAGCGGTGGTAGAGAGGAGTTGGCCTCGAGAACCAACAGGCGGAGGCTTTCTGATCTTAGTTGCTTGCTCAAATGCATACGCAACCTCAATCAGCTTTGGCTCCGAACCCTTTAGTCCCCCAAAGCAAATGCCGAAAGGGTACTTGTCAACATTATGATATCCTGCCGGCACAACAATGCCTGGAAAACCACCAATTCCAAGGATTGAATGAGCAGAGTTGGAATAAGTCACCAGCGCATCTAGGTTCTCATCTTTCATCAACTTCTCAAATCCATCTCTGGACAGTCTTGCTAAATTTGACAATATTTCTTGCTCTTGTGCTCCTATACCGTTAGTCTTCTCAGCAGCTTCTAAGAGATCTTGTCCATATTCATTCATCTTTTCCTGTAAATGACCAGTAAGTTTCGTTCACTGTTCGTTTGTGGTTATCGAATGCATCTAATTTAAACTTGTATGCTACACAATATTTTGGAATAACAAAATGACAAAGACATCAATGCATAAACAGTCTTGTACTCACTACTACACTCACCAAAACTGAGTTGTTCTTGTTGAATGCTATCACATCTCTCAAGGTTCTCACCGGAGATTCAACTAGTTCACTTAGGTATGGGTTCAAGGCCATTTTGAATTCCGCTAACATTGCTACAAATTCACCACTCAAAGATAAATCGAGAATATCTTCAATGTTGGCTATCTCAAGATTTCCAACCAAAACTGCACCTTGTTTCCTACGTTGCAGCAAGGAATAGTATGTCATAATTATAGACTAGAAAGTGCACCTAAAAAAGCATTCTGTTACCTCAGTGTGGTAAAGTGCTGCTCAAAAGTTTGATTCAAGAAACAATCATCCTTGACTTCATGAAACAAGCGACTTACTATCCCCAATCTCTTTCCTTGGAGACCATTAGCCTTGAGAAACTGTCCATAGCCACCCACCGGGATGTACTGCGATGCTTCATGCGTTGCGATATCGTTGCTATCAATACCGACAATGGCATCCAGGACATGAACAGCATCAGCCACTGTTCTACAAATTGGCCTGTTCCAAGTTCCAAATGATCACTTTGTTACTCACACTTTTGAGCTAATCAGATAAACAGATGTTACAATTGATCAATTAATCCAAATTACCAAAACTTTCAGCAACGGAAAGTGTCAATGGATGATCACATAAAGAAACAGAAAAAACTTCAGGCGCAAAGTAAATTTGTTAGATAACAATAAGCCATCACGTACCCAACTGTGTCCTGTCTCGGACTCACTGGGATGACTCCAGCTCGACTAGTGAGACCAACGGTTGGCTTGAAGCCTACTACCGAGTTATAACTGGACGGACATAAGATGGAGCTGTCAGTCTCTGTCCCTAAAGCCACAGCTACCATATTTGCAGATACAGATATTGCCGGTCCACTACTTGATCCACAAACTTCCAGCGATGAATTATAAGGATTCTGCATATAGCAACAAAACCACACGTCTTTGATTCTGGTTCATGCCAAATTCATATACGAAATCCACAGATGAAGTAGAATTTAGTGACTGATTCATGCATACCGCAACCAAATTTCACAGTGCTTAAATGGCAATCACATTTACTGATCACAACGCTTCAATGAAACACAGAAACGTTCTAAAGGTGATCACAACTCGGTGCAAACGCTAATTTAGCAGAACATCTCACTAGTTTTCGGGATCGTGAACAACTAACTATCAACTTGACAATGATCAAAACTCAAAACTTTATAATGCTACTGCATAGATATATCATATGTTAAAGGTTTCAAAGACTGTTCAGTGGCCCCTACTAATCACACACCGATACATAACATTTAAGCAGCTGATAGTCAAGTCTAAGTCGAACTCACCACACCCTGGCCGCCTCTGGCACTCCATCCGTACGGCGCGGAAAACGACCGGATATACGACCACTCGCTCAAGCTACCCTTCCCCAGAATCACAGCCCCAGAGCTCCTCAGCTTCGCCACAACCCCGGCATCCCTCGGAACTTTGGAACCCAACAGCGCAAAGGAGCCGACGGTGGTGTTAAGTTTGTCCTTGGTGCCAATGTTGTCCTTGAGCAAAATGGGAATCCCGTGCAGCTTCGGCAGTGCTCTGGTTCTGGCTGATGGGTTCGATTCCCATTTCCGGCGTTTTTCGTCGGCGGAATCGGCCTGGGAAAGCGCATCTGGGTTCACCTCCAGGACCCCTCTAAGGTGGCTGTTGAGGGTTTGGATTCTGTCCAGGTAGAACTGAACCAGTTGCCGTGAAGTCAGAGTCTTGAGCTTGAAAGCGATCTGGAGGTCGTCAATGGTGGATTCTTCAATTGGGGTTTCGGACCCAGATGAGATTTTGGATTGAAGAATTAGAATAAGAAACGAGAGGAGAGAGAAAAGTCTCTGCCTTGAATTGGTGGTAGCCATGGAACGGATGAAAGCTAGAAATTGATGGGTTTTCTTGCCATTTAAACAAAGGTTGTTTGAAAATCAATATTTTTGTGATTTCATTTGTTTATTGTTCTGCAGCAAGTTGAGTAATTTGCTTATGTCCCCAATTGCAAGCAATCTAATTGTCAGGAACAAAACGTTACGAACGTTATCAATTCATTGTCGATAATATTTTGACACCAAATTTGTTGTTTAACAAATGACCAACATCTTACTAAGAGAGTTTACGATGATCATAAAATTCCAGGTTTACAATTATTTGGAAACCCGAAACCTGTGTTGAGATGTTGAACAGTTTGGAGTTGAGAAACTGTCATTGCGCATACTCAATAAGATTTGATGTCATATGATTTTCTAAGACAGAAATATTTACTAGCATATGAATTT